TTATACATACATACATGCGTACATACAAACATACATACATGCATACATACAAACATACATACATACAAACATACATATATACATACATACATAAATGCATACATACATACATACACTGTACATGTACATTCATACAAACATACATACATAAATGACATGCATATATACAAACACACTCCCACACGTACACAGAAATTTGTCGGAAACAAGCAAACTGGATGAAAATGAATTTATATTTCGCAATGAGGAAGAAAACATGAATAGAACAGAAGGGCAGAAAAGTAGAAGTGAATTTATTGTCCATGATGGTTTGATCGCCAACAGTTTCAATCTTGAATGTTCATTTGCGGATGAACAATCAAAATCAGTTCATTCTGATTAGCAATAGGCAATTTCATGTTTGAAAAAATATTTCTATCCAAGCAAATTTAGGTTTTTTTTTATTTGAAACGATACAATACAAAACTTTTATTTCTCAGGGACAAAATTTAACAGCTAGGTGTTCAAAATTATATAAACGTGTTTGAAATTATTTAATTTTCACAAAATAAGCACTTAAAGTTTAAAACTAAATTTCCATGCAAGCCAAACACGATACCAGATGTACTAAAAGAATCTTTTAATCAGAACAAAATTCAGTGATGCTATTAGAAATGCGTACACTCCTTCAGAATTACACAGACAGACGCTTACACACACACACACACACACACACACACACACACACACACACACACACACACACACACACATACACAACTACAAAACACGAACATATGCTGCAAAGATAATGTTTACACATCAATATAGTCCAGATAAGTAAAATACTCCAGGCTTCAGGCAGAACATCATTGAGCACTTTAATTCTACCATTTCTAAATATATAGGTACACGCACAGTCAAACACACACACACACACACAAACACACCACACACACACACACCACACACACACACATATACACAAACACACAAACTAACCGGTATATATATATATAATTTTTATTGTTGAAATTTTATATCGTGTCTTTTAAAAGTTTCTCAAAGGCACTATCACAAAAATTCAAACAAAAAATTTAAAAAAAAATAAAATAATGATTGAAATAGTTATGTGGTTTTAGTTGTTAATGCGTTTTTCAGATGGTACTATCAATTTCTATTTTTTTGTGTGTGCAATTAATGGCTATATGGATGTTGTAACTGTGAAATTATATGTTTTGGAACAGCTAGATAGTGTAACGGCTAACGTATTTGGAACTTCTGATGCAATGGCTGGCTTCAAATTCAAAGGAATTCCCGCCATTTACATGAGATTTACGCGCATTTACATATACGTTGTTGTTGTTGATGCAAGATGTTAGATTTTTTTATAACTTTGACAGTCTTTTTTTACCGTGTTATCACATTGAAAATTTAATTAAAATTATTCTCACTAACATAAGGGCTAAATGCGACAAGACCATTCTGTAACGTTTTTATAGCGTTCAATTTTTTAATAACTTGTTTAACAAACAAACAAAAATATTTTGAGAATATTTTTCAACAAAGCTGCCAAGCCGCTCCGCTGGGCTTAACGGTGCTCATAAGATTAAACTGGGTTGGACGTATTTGCAGGCTTTCGAGAAAATGTTATCACTTCATCACGTGACAACACTCAACAATCAAAATCATTCTCACAACAAACACAGTGCTCCAGTTGGTTGATGACCTCAATACATTCAACCACATAATGTGCCCGACTTTTAAAATTTGTTTTGGAAGGAGCTTTGTTGACATGGCACTGAAAAAAGTGCCGAAAACCTAAAAAAAGTCATAACATTTTTGTCAATTGTTGTTGGAGTTCATTTTTGTCGCCAACGTGAAAATTGCCAAAAAAGCAAAAAAAATTGTGCCATTGCATGTTTCCTAAAGTTTTCAGCAGTTTTTATATTTTTATTATTTGAGAATATTGAACCTCTACCGTAATAAACTTTTTATTAAATAAACTTATTCTTTTGTGTTTTGTTTTTGTATATAATGAGAGTATACTGGCTTTATTAGACTTCAAGAACATATAAAAAATTGAAGAAAACTGTTCAAGAAACTATTTTTTCATTAAAATCTGGGATTAGATACAAATTTATTTATTTTTAAACAAAAAGCCCGTGTAATGCATCAGGCAGAGTTCAAAATTTTCATTTCAATTCCTAAAAGTGTTTTACTATTGTATGTATTGTTGTATATATAGAGTATATATGGATATGTATAATATACATTGTATATGTATGTATAACAGAGTGAATATATGAACATATATAGGAATAGTATAATAAACAGTTAACAATGTATGTTTGTATGTAATTTTTTAGGCCAAGTAATATTCTGGCTGGTGTCAGATGAATCGTTGTTAAGTAACTGGTCGTTCGTAATATGATGAAGGTGATGATTATACTAATTCATTTATAATTTATATATTTTATACTCTTCTATTATTATTATTATTATTATTATTATTATGAAA